CGGTTGGTAGTACCCAGGGCTTAGAGTGAACGCGCACCCGGGGCTGCGGTGGAGGCTCCTCTGCGAGCTCCACTTGCCTCCCATCCCGGGACCTAGGAGAAGGCGGGTACCTGGCCGCCAGCTGACGCCCTGGTGGTCACTGTGGCCCTTTAGAAACACACAGCTCCATTTCATAAGCCAAACCTCCTCCCCCAGCCCCGGCTCAAGCACCATTCACACACTGCCATCCAAGCCGCGGGCGGCCGTGGGAAGGGCACTGGACCACCCGTCTCGCGGGCGCGGTTAGGTACAGCGATGGCTCCCAGTGCCGGGCAGCTCAGGTGACAGGAGCTTTCCAAAGACACCTAGAGTCCAAAAAGCAGGGTTCCCATCTCACAATTTGGATTTGCCCATAGAGGAGAAGATAGGACAGCCTGCTCACATTTCTCCTTTGAAGGCACTTCCACAGTGGACTGTCGCTGGAGGGCCCCTGGGCGATGACCATCGGTGCCCCGGGAGACAGCGAGGAAATCACCCTTCGGTCACTGTGTAAGCCCCCACTAGGTTTCTGCTCTTTCCAAAGGGGAGGAGCTGGGGGAACCAGGAAGGAAGCCCACCCCAACACCTGCATCTGTCTGGGTTCAGCCAGGTAAAGGGACTCACTGTGATCGTGGTCCCTCCATGGGGCAGGACGACCCTGCCTCCGTCTCGTGACACAATGAGGGAGCAGCCCGATCCCTGTGCGGTCTCTTTTTTGGTGCCTCCTACATTTCTTGAGGAAAAAAAAAAAAAAATGTGTCCTTAGCTACCCTGTTTTGAGCAGCAATATGCAGCCTCTTCCTTCCAAGATTACCTCCGGAGAACACCATTCTTGGCCAGGGACACTGAGGAGCTAAACCTGCCTCACTAAGGAACGAGCTTGTTTCCAAGAAATGAGGATAAGATGGGTAAAATCCTCACTAACAAAAGAATACTATAAAACCTGTGAGAGCCTTAGAATAGCTTCTAATACTCCTAGGAAAGGAGAAAGCGCCTGGTTTTGCTGTGAGTGTATCCTCAGAAAAAGCAGGAGGTCGACCATCTCTTCACTGGAGCCAGCTTCTCCTCTAGAAACGATGCTTTTTTCCCTAACTAAAGAGCAGCAAAAACAAACAGAAAAGTGGGAGGGGATTTTTTTTACTTGTTTGGAAAATTATAATAAAACAATTATCTCCTGTGAGTAATGCCTTTTTGCTTTTAATTATTCCACAGCAGGTGGAGTTTTCAGTAATTTGTTCAAGTTTTGCATAAGTGGTTCCTTAAATCAAAAATTATTTATTAAATAGGATCTTTAAGAAATTTTTTGAAAGTTTTACTTTTCCTGCTGAACAATATTTTCAATGTCTGGTAATTACTGTACTAACATTCACGTCCCTGATATTACTGGGGTTTCTTTTATTACTCAGAAAACAAAAGTGGTTTTTTAAAAATCTCATGGAGAGGGTCTGTGGCAGCTTTCTGGACTGATTCTTCGTGTCACGCTGAGCAGCCGCTTTGGCATCCAAAGCTGTGGGGTCACAGGAAGTGTTGCTTCGGGTGTGGATGCCAGCCACTCCTCATGCCCCTCACTCCTAAAAGATGGAGACACCCAACCTTAAAAATGCTTCAGTGGTCCATTCAGAAACCAAACTCGCATGCACAAGATGTCAAGGAGGCATAAAGTCAACTCTTGTTTGTTTTTCTCATTTCTTAATGTAAAAACAGCCAACCAGAAGTTTCTAAAACTGGCTATGCAAATTCAGATCTTTTCTTTCTCATGCTATCTGCCTGGTTTGTTTAATTAAAAAAAAAAAAAAATGAGAATAAAAACAGTCCGTTGTAATACAGGAAAACCTTCCAAACCAGGCAGAGTACGTAATTATCAAAGCACCAGGACCTATTCTACCCTTGCATTTCAAAGTTACCTCCACCCATCACCATCTGATGACAGATGTGCCCTAAATAAGAGCCTGAGATAAAACCACTGGCTGCATCCCGCGCCCCAGCTTCTCAGTGTGGTAAAGAGGCGCCAGACGTCTGTAGACACCTGCTCCAGGCTGGTACATTACCACTCAGTCCACATGACTTAGGAATAGGATCTGAATCCATCCTTCCTCTAAACAGTATTTTAAAAAAAAAAGGGGGAGAGAGCCGATAGTCATATTAAATGTGCAGGCCCCATGCACCGACAGCATGCTCCTTGAGAAGAGCTGTTTAGACCTTGTCCCTGGCCAGAGACCAACTTCATCAGGCTGGCCAGGAACTATTAAAAACTGTGTTGACTGCATGTGGGCCAAGGGCTTCCCTCATATTCCATGGCATGAGGGCCCTTTGTGGAGCAGGGAGAAAGGGAAGAAGGTGAGTCCCCCTGGGGTGTATGGCCCTGCTGTCGTCGCTGACCCTGCCTGAGAGCAGCCTTCCCCTCCTGATCTGGCCACACTTCCCTTTCTAGGAAGGACAGGTGTCTCCAAGGGACTGCAGGTTTCCAGAGGATCCCAGATACTTCTAAACCCCTGTGAAGGTTACTTCAGAAATTTACATTTCCTGCACATTTGTTACCTGGGTAAATGATTTTTTTAATATATTGTTAAGGGAAGGTGTTTTTCAGTGTATTCTGTTTGTAGATTTTATGCTGTGTTACGTTGAAATTTTACAAGCCAAGTTTAAACTATACTATAAAAATTATTTTTGTATTATTTTCAGAACATGCCACAGAGCAATATTTTGCACCCTTTATTGTCACAGGGTTGTCCCTTAGAAGGGTAACTGGAGGTGGGAAGGAGCTCCACTCTGGGCTCCGGGGGTTAAACGCTTTTTGCTGCTTGTTCGAATACCTTCTGAAAGTGGGAATGTATAAATGTCTGTTTTTATTGAAAGCTTGATTTGCTTTTTTCTGTTCATGGATTCTGGTACTGCACCTTTCCTCTTAAATGAATACTTTGTATTCACTAAATTACTGTGGACCTTTTCTTACCTTTTACCACCCAGTGGCATTTGAATCTATTACTTTACAAATTGAATGTTTTTCCAAATGATTTAATTTCCTCATTCTCATAGCTTACTGTCAAGAATTGGGTGGCTGAAGATAAAAGGACTCTCCATGTCCCCCAGGTGCACACCTCAGGGTGTGGACATCCTCCATGCAGCGCCCGCCCTGTCTCTGAGGAGGGGTCATGGGTCCATCGCCCACCCCCACCTCCCCCCACTTAATATCCACCAACTTATTTTGCATACTATTCTACTTTGCAAAAATAAACTTAACCTAGCAAAATATACTTCACATTAGTTAAGATAAAAGGGCTGTACTTATCAATGGTGGGAAATTTGTGCAAGAAAAAAACAAAGACTTTTCCAAATCCGTGTGTGTAAGTTCCATTCCATGTGAGTCTTTTATTTACTAAGAGACTTGGAGTAAAAGCTGGAGGCATCTGCCGTATGTTTGGGGCTCCTTTCTTTATGACAAGATTCTTTTTCTCCTCATCTTGGTGTGGACTTCACAAATTAAGTTTCCCCAGTGTTCTGTCCTTTATCTTTCTTCAGTGCTTGTAATAAACAAGAAGAAATGTGTTTCCATGACTGAGCGAGCCCTGTGGGGTCAAGCAGACCTTACCAGCTCTGGCTTCATCCTCACTGGGCTGCAGAGGCGGCCCCTGCTCTAGTTGAGTCTGGTTCTGCTGCCAGCTGAGGACAGACACACCATATGAAGGGCCCAGAGGTAGCTGGCATGTCAGGGAGCAGGTATCCCCTTCCAAAACGGCTTAAAGTGATGGCTCTTTGGAGACCTGAGGCACCACCTTCACATTTGCTCCTGACTTGAAACTCTAGCTGGCCGGTTTTAGTGTGGCTGGCCAGGGCAGTGACCAGCACTCAGCTTTGTTCTTGTGTCATTCAACTCCACCCTGCTGCCCGTGTCCTCTCCACAGCTCTGGGTCTGTTGGCCCAGAGTGTATTTCTGCCAGTGCTGCCTCACTGACTCAGGAGTGGGTCCTGGATAGTTCATGATAGAGAGGCCAGCACATGCCATGGGGAGAGCCCCCCACACTTACCCCGGGAGGCCCTGCTGCACATCCAGGCTGGACCACTCTGCAAGCTTCTGTCGTGAAAGACAGGTCTGGGCACTGTGCAGATTGGCCTGTTAGCAGTTATGCAGGTCCCTTCTTTTCCAAAAGATCTATTCTTCTTCCCACTGCACCCCAGCAGAAAAGAGCTAGGGAGATGCCCTGCAGGGACCCCCGGGAACAACAGGTATGTGCAGTCTGCGCAGTGTGAAGAACTTGGCCCCACCAGGCTGAGCGGAAGACACACGTCATTGCAGAACAGCACTGAAGCCATCATCTCCAACCATGCTAGTAATACTACTATTTCTATTTATTTTGCCAAATAGTTTGTTGAAATTTGCATTTTTGCTATTTTAATCTTGCCAAAAAAGGGGGCCTCACTAATTCTAATTATGTACATACAGAATGATGCACAGTGCTTATATCTTTTTGTTCCTCCCAAAGAGCATCTCAAGGATATATATGTATACACACACACATTTGTTTAACGTAAGGTGAAGAGTGCCATTTGGTTTTAAGAGTAAATATAGGCCAAATCTATTCAAGACCAAAGCAGCCTATTAATTTAATGAGGACAAATTAGTGAAACCAGCTGTTTTAGAATTTATCTACAGACACTGGAGTGCTACTTTAAATGAAGAAACAGCCTCCCATGGCAGAGGAAAAGCCAGGTCCTTACAAAGGCCTCTCCCACCCCAGTACTACTTCTGCCTGCTGCTCTGCCCTGGGACGTAGGCCTTCCTGCCATTTCTAGTCACAGGCACCCTCCTGCCTCAGGGCCTTTGCACATGTCATTCCTTCTACCTGGAACATTCTTCCCCAGAGAGCCACATGGTTCACCCCTCACTACCTGCCAGTCTTTGCTCCAATGTCACCTTTCAACGAGGCCTTCCCTGACTTCTTTATTTAAAGTAACAACACACCCCACTCTCCCTCCCTACCCACCTCTCTGCATCTTCTTCTTGTGCATTTCTCACCATCTGAGTGCTGCAGATGTTAATCATTCATCCATTTATTTGATTCTCACCTCCCCGTCTCCCATAGACTGTAAGCTCCATGTGGGCAGGAACTTTCATGTGTCTTGCTCATCACTGTATCCTGGTGCCTACAACAGTGCCTGATACGTATTAGGCACTGGATAAGTATTTGTTGAAAAAAGGAAATGAAATCAGTAAATCGAAACCTATTAAGAGGCCAGAAAATGTCAATTTCAGCTTTCATCAAATCCAGGTTCTGTTAGTGTGAGAACTTTAGTTGACCCAGTGACCTGGCTCCTGTGGGTACAAGATGGCTAGATATGGCATTGAGCAACACTGGGCAGCAGTGGTGGCTTCTGTCTGTGAACGCCTGCCCTGCCGCTAACCCGCACAGATGTGAGGCTCGTTGTTCTCAGGGGAGCATTTTGGAACCAGCTGGGATGAAGACAGTTTTAGACGGGTAGCTCTAGTAGTCAGTTGCACAGTAGCGGGTTCCCGTCACTCCATGAGGTCACTGTAGACCTGGACCATTCCAGAGAATCCTTTGTTCATCAGTCTTTAGGTGTCTCCCAGTCCTTCCCAGTTCCACACGGGTGGCAGCAGATGGCCCAGCCCAGGGAAAGTCCATCTGACCATTAGAAGGACTCATCCTCCAGCGACCAAAGCAGGTTGCAGAGGAAGAGGAGCTTGTCACAAACATTAACCAGCACAGGGCTGGGCAACTGCACTGACAAATTTGGAAGCAGCAGGACCAGAGAGCCAAGGTCCCTGGGTATCCCCATTGGCCGCTGGTAGAGGTGCACTGGAAGGTCAGAGCCTTGACAGCACAGAGCCAAGCAACACACACCGCCTTGGGCCCAGGACCCAGTGCTGGCAGCTGGCCTCACCCACAGCAGGGAGGTGTGGGTCCTCCAGTGACCTTCCTGCCCCTGCCAGATGATTTTGACAACTACCTAACCTTGGTGTTTACTTCTAGGTCCTTTGGCCAAATGCATTTTCTTCTAAGAGTTGTTGGCAAAATACTGTTACAAGCTTCTTATGGGACTTTTGTCCTACTGTGACCTGGTTAAAGGCTTTGTCCTTCTCTTTAATCCGCTTCTGTGGTTTTGCTGTCATTTCTCTTGATGCCATATTTTCAGGTCCTTCATGGGAGGGGGCATAAGGTCTCCATCGTAACGTCCCCTCTGCAGCTGTCCAGCCAGCAGTGACTGGGCCCCTACATGTGCGTTCCTGTGCTTGAATTGTCAAATAAACAGTGTCCCTTTCATTGCTGCCCAAACAGACTGGAGGCCTGCTCCTGCCAGCACTCAGGGGGGGAGTGTGTGCTTCCCAAGAGCCTGCCCCCTTGGCCCATGCAAACTTTCTCCATGGCAGGTGTCCATGGAGGTCTCCCAGGCCCTATGGGCTGTCCAGCTCTTTGCGCACGTTCTTCCCGCTTGCGGGAATGGAAACCAAACACCTGATATGGAATGATGACTTGGCAGCGGGGAGTGGGGCAGCTTGTCTCCACTAACTTAGGACCAAACTAGGAAACTCACCATGAGCATGCTTTGGAGATCAGCTGTGGCCTCGAGCCCCTGTACACGCAGAGGCAAGCCCCACCTCTGACAGAGCCAGTCACCATTCAGTAGGAGCTTCGCTTCCCCGGGCCCACAGGTAGGAAAGGCTGGGCTCTTAGTCCTATAAGTAAAGGCGCTGTTAGGAGCAAGGAGCAGGTTCAGCTGGGTCCACAGAGGAACTAAGCTCCTTAGTGACCCGTTACTGCCTCATCTACGGAGTTTGAACTCCATTCACCATCACCTTTGAGAATTTGGCCTTGTTTTAACTAAGGATTGTTGAAGTAAATTATAACAAGGGACCATCCTCACCCTGTGTTTGCTTTGTTCCATTAAACATGCGTTTGGCCTAATGAAGTCAGTGAATGTTCCTCTTTCTTTTTTGTTTTTTGGTTTCTTTGATTTTTGGATGACATATGTTGCTTTATTTCTCCTTTTTTTTTTTTTTTTTTGATTACTGTGGACAAAGGAAAATAATGAGGCAAAAACAGGTCGTCAGTCACATTACTTTGACCCAGTTGTGCAGAACCCCTTTTTACCTGCAGGTGTTAATTCCAATTCAATGCAAATATCCTTTTCAATCCGGTCCATTCTTGGAGAAGAAACCCATTGTAAGAGCTGTCTTCTGTGGTTGGGATATTACTTTGTAAAGTATTAAAGCACTAAACCAATTTTTGCAATATGTAGTAAATCTTGCTTTCATTTTGGAAAACTTCCAGTAATGACTACTGCACTTTTTATAGAAGAATTGTATTTAATTTCTTTCTTTTATGAAAGATTATTTCAAGTAAAAATAGCTCTGTAATCTGTGTGACATGGCTTCTCCATTACCTGACACAGAGAGAAGCTTTGATGCCTACTCAATAAAATTAACATGTTTGTAAAGTATTGCTTGGTCCAATTATTTGCCCACTGACTCCTGTGTTCTTGTAAAATGCCATCTAAGAAAAGCTTTATTGCGAAGAGGAAGAGGACTATATCAGGCATCCATCCATACCAGTATTGTTTTGTTTAAGTGTTTTCCCACCCAGATGAGATGTAAACCCAGTTGTCACAGTTTCATTCTTTTTTTTTTTTTTTTTTTTGTATTTTTAGTGGAGACGGGTTTGGCCAGGCTGGTCTCAAACTCCTGACCTCAAGTGATCCACCTGCCTCAGCCTCCCAAAATGCTGGGATTACAGGCATGAGCCAGCACGCCCAGCCAAGTTTCATTCATGTAAGAGGAAAATAGTTTATCTCCTTTTTAAAATGACCATGACACATTTTGTCTGGATGAAAGCTGTATTTAGTCTGTTTTCACACTCTTGATAAAGACATACCTGAGACTGGGTAATTTATAAAGAAAAAGAGGTTTAATGGACTCACAGTTCCACGTGTTTGGGGAGGCCTCACAATCATGGCAGAAGGCAAAAGGCACGTCTTACATGGCAGCAGGCAAGAGAGAATGAGAGCCAAGTGAAAGGGGAAACCCCTTATAAAACCATCAGCTCTTATGAGACTTTCTACCACGAGAACAGTATGGGGAAAACCACCCCCATGATTCAATTCCCTCTCACCATGTCCCTCCCACAGCGCATGGGAATTATGGAAGCTACAATTCACAATGAGATTTGGGTGGGGGCACAGCCAAACCATATCAGAAGCTGAATAGGGTTGTCCTTAACATGTCTTCACCAGAGGTTGCAACCATAAGCAAGAGAATGGCAGCTGGGAGCATAGAGAAGGAGGAGGATTTTGCCGTGAATTTTTGTCTGTGAGTGCTCTTCTACGGAGGAGAGGCGCTGCCTCTGTAGAAGAAAGAAGCCCCCTCAGGAGGCTGTGGGTGGGGTCCAGGCCACAGGCCTGTCTAAAGCAGGTGTGATGCACCCAGGACTCAGTCCCAACCCACTGTGTGCCATGCACTGGGACAGTGACGGAGGTGGTGATGACAGGGCCTCACACACTGAATAGGCATCATTGAGGGTGGCACATTCTCCACATAGTGGAATTCAGTCCATGCAACAACCCTATGAGATAGCAAAATCTCTGTGTTGTAGACAAGAAAAGTAAGGTTTGGCGAGGTAAGACG